GGGGCGGTGTTAAACTGGGCTCTTGAACAGTGGAAAGAAAAGATAGAATTTTTTAGCAAAATGTTTATGAATTGAATTGGATATTGCTCTTGCAAGTTGCAAGCCACCCAGGTGGAATTCTTGATAGTCGGTCCACTATCTCTGTGTATTTACTAATTTTATATTCCATTATTTATGGCATTTTGATATTTAAATTAAAGTTAGATGACTGAGGAAGAATTTTTTTAAAAGATAAAGTAATAGACTAATAGTAAAGAATTATTAGCTTTAATGAAATTGTTCGAAGTTTGGGTGAAAAAAATGGACATTTGGTATTAAATTTAAGAGGTAAAATGGTTCTCACCGTGGCATAACACACAAGAAATTAGCCTTTGATTGATTCTTATCGTGACAAAACCATTTACTTATATCGGTATATACTAATACAAAATAAAGAAGTCCTTTCTGAAATTCTTTTAATAAAAAATAAAAAAATCACGAGTTACGAGGCTGACAGAGCCACTTGGAATACAGTTCAATACAATATGGGCCTTGGCGTAAATTGAACTAAACAAAACCAAATTGCAGCCAATGAGAACATTCGAGAGAAAATCCAATATAAATGTGGGCATTAACATTTTCATCGTCGCCAGCTCCGTCCATTGTTTTAAAGTAGCCTTCATTTTCCGATTCAGCTGCGCTTTCCCATGGCTGCCTCCTCCACCATTAACCGATGGCTGAGGCCCGAGGTCTGTGTCATTTCCCCTACATTTCCTCTCTCTCTCTCTCTCCTTAGAACTTAAAAGGGGGATCTAGCATAGTGGCAGCGGCAGCATGTGTAGTATTACAATGCATTTACTATATAAGGGGGGTATGGGTTTTGGGTTTTATAGTCTGGTCGTTATATCTGATCTAACTGAGTACTGATGATGCTATATTATTATTTTGTGGTGTTATATATATAGGTGTATCCACTATTTGCAGCGGTGGGAGTAGCTGTTGGAATTTGTGGGTTTCAATTGGTTCGCAACATCTGCATCAACCCTGAAGTCAGGTACCTCACCCCCTCCCTTTATGCCGCTGTGTGTGTATGTGTGTGTGTTACTATGAATTGCCTGGTTCTTAAAATAATTTTTGAAAGTTTTGTCTTGTACATTTTTATGACATATTTGGACTTTCTAGGAAGCTAGCTAGCTTCTTAAATGAAAAGGCATGCACGAAGCTTGATCCAGCATATATAAGTATAAATATGTACTCCCATAGTAAGCCAGATAATAATATTTAAATATGTATATGTATTAATAGGTGCCCCACATTTGATGCGTCTCTATCAGAACAATGCATCTCCTTAATTTATTACCAGTAGTATGGCTCCAGAATTTGGTTCAATTAGTTGAAAATGAACCTTTTTGGTTCATATTTTAATGAATGGAGTAATTGAATGCTACGCTTTTATACATAATTTCTTCTATTGACACTGTTTCAGATGCATAAATTATACCATTTGTGAAAATTTTAATGTATTGGAATTATGAAAGGAAGAATGAAACTGTAAGGAGGAGGAATAGATTGCAGAAGTATGAGGAAATTTTCTTCTAGAAATAGAGAAATCTTGCGGGGCAGGGTGGTAGTAAAGAAATCTGGGGCTGGGGTGTGTCGCTGTATTAAGAGCATTTTACAGAGGCATTGGGCTGTTTCAGGGTAGGTAGTTTATCCCTGCCCCTTTGCCATCCATAGTTAGGAGATATTTTTTTGTGACATTATGCTTTCTTGCTGTTAAATAATTTATCGACTCACAAAATCAGTTATTTGCATGACTGAAAAGGACGAGGACTTCAGAATCTGTGGTCTTTGAAAGGCATTTTTAATACAGAAGAAATGCTCTCAGCATAAGTTACTTCTACATCTTGGTTTTTGTTGCCTCATCACTGAAGTTTCATGGCTACATACAATTTCAACTGCAAGTTTTGTGCAGTGTCTAGAATGAACTTTTGGGGCTTGTAATAGACCGGTTGGAGTTAGCTCCATTGTTTGAGACCTTTCCATGTTAGATGTTACCTTTTGAACTGAAATAGAAATTGAAGAAGGAAAACTGTGTAAAATCGGACTTTCAACTTCTGTAAGCTGCAGCTTATTGGTACTTTTAATGGACTCTACCTTCGGTTCTGATTGTATGTTGAGATTTTTGCTTATATGGTTGTTCATTGTTGTATTGGATGTTTTCTTTTTAAGCCAACATGAAAAGGGAGAATGAAACTGACAATAGGACATTCAACTTCTCTAAGCTGCAGCTTATTGTTGCTTTTAATGGATGTTACTCGTTTTTTTCCTAAATTTTTCTGAAGTCATAAAGAAATGAGAAAGTGGAGTATTAGAAAGTAGAGAATTGCAATATATCTTATAGTTTCACTGGTGTCTTTGTGTTTATGCAAAACATAGGGTGACCAAGGAGAACAGGGCAGCAGGAGTGCTGGATAACTTTACAGAAGGGGAGAAATATGCAGAGCATGCTCTTAGGAAGTTTGTTCGTAACAGGGCTCCAGAGATCATGCCATCTATCAATGGCTTCTTCAGCGATCCAAAGTGATGGCTAAATTTAAACCTGAAATTGATTGAGACTGTTAATGTTTGTTTTTGACATTTGAATGAGATCGACTGGAATGGCAGTTTTATGCACTAGCTTGAATTCAAAATGGATTCAGATATAAAAGAAAATCTCAAAATAAATGTCGTTAACAATCACAATTGCCTGTCTCTGATGACCACACCTTTGCATTTTCATTTTTATCTGCTGCATTTTGTTTTTCAAAATTTTATTCAGTATTCTATTAATGAATCACCATTTACGTTGATCGGAGTGCAAGTAACTACTTTGTTTGCCTAGGTTTTACTGATGGCTCTGTACTGCCTTTAGACATTTCACTATTTGGTCACCCAGTTGTGCCACTTCTGGAGTAGTTGCTAGTCTTGGAATGACCTTTATTTCTTAATGCATGTGTCCACCTATCCTAACTCTTAGATAAGCCCTAAAAGAGACACCCCATTTGCATGGAGAAATTTCAGGTGCTGCTTATTAATTACTCATATCATATTATAACGAGATTGTAAAATTCACTACCTTGATGCTTCCTGAATGATCACAGCTAAAGTTTTTGTTCTGATGTTATACTCCCTTCGCATGGAGGTGACAAGCTAAAGATATAATGATGAACCTAGGGTTTCGAATAAATTATTTATATGCATTAAGTGAATTTTTAAATACAAATATAAAATTTGGACTAAAGCTATTGGATTATGTTAAACTCTCTCCGGCATCATAAATTCAACGGAAAAGCAAAACTTCAAGGAGCAAGAGGTGGCCATCACATGAAATCAACATGCTCGATTAGCTAATTGTAACTAGTAATTCGACAAGATAGTGTCATAAAAATAAAATTACTCGACAAGATAGGGTCAAAATGCAATATAATGAACGGCCATACAGCTCAGGTCCCAAAAAGGGAAAAAGAATAAGGTCTATGAATTACTAATTTTTGCAACTTCCTAGCTCTAGTACACTGATCATATATATCAATTACAACGAAAAGGATCAAGGTAGAGAATAATGAGTCCTGAAACATAAAAAATTAACCATCACTCGACCCAGGGAGAAAGATTTGGAATAAAACAGAACTTTAATTCTATTGGTCAACAGTGGAGACCTCTTGCCACTCCCCATCAATTGCTTCTTTCCACAATGTGACATTGTTATCACCAGCAGCCACTGCCAACAAGTTTCCAGTTAGAGACCATGAAACCCTCCAAACAGGATTTTGAAAGTCTTTAAGAACCTTCCCGTCCCACTGATTTCCCTCTTTTGCCATGGTCCATATGACAACTGTACCATCTTCTGAAGCACTAGCCATTGTTGACTTTGGAAGCCCCAAGTTCGGCGCCCAGGCTACATCCCTCACCCAATTACTATGCATCTGAAGTGCTGGGAAGCAATCCATCTTCCATATGCCATTATATAACTTCCAAACCTTCACAGTGTTATCACAGCCGCCAGATGCTAGCTTCTGAACAGGTTCAAGCACACCTGAGCCTACTATAGCACCAGGAGACATTGATGGCGCCCATGAAACAGATGTTACCCCGACCGGATGAGCTTGGTCTATTTTTTTGGTGTCCCAACCACCATCTGACCTAGCATTGTGAACTGATATATTACCATCAGAAGAAGCACAGGCTAAACAAAGCCCAAGTTCATGAGGGGCCCACGAAATAGAGTTAACGGATGATTTGTGGTCACTAAAAACATGAGCTTGTGTCCACTCATTTTGATTTCCTTCCTTCCAGATTATGACTTTACCGTCATAGGAGCAGGAAGCAAGGATCGACCCAAATTTGGGATGCGCCCAAGCAACCTGCCAAACAGGACCACTATGACCACTCAGAGAGGCAAGGTGCTGTGAAGCAGAGTTGTCGCCTACACCAACGATTTTTATGGTATTGTCAGATGATGCTGTTGCCATTCGCTTTCGGTAATAGTCCATAGAAACATCATGAACAGTGTCATTATGACCGGTTTCAATCTTCTGTGCAGGCATCTTCTCTTGTTTCTATGCAATATTTCTGTGCAACTACATTTATCAGTTCGATCCGATTTTAGTAAACATCTCTGTTTGAAAGATAACTACTTTAAATACACTCCTTTCCACACACACCCTATATGGGTAGAGAAAGAATGATTGTAAACTATAAATGATCGACCAAAATAGAAAACCAAGGCTAAATACTCAACTTAAAACAATACATCACAATTAGCCCAAGCAATACAGGCAAGATAGAACTATCAGGGAAATCTGAATTTGAGAATACATCATTAGAGCTTTCACATGATATTAATTTAAGCTCATGGTCCTTCAATAATAGCACTTTAATTCAAGACAGCAGACCAGAGGAAATAATAACAGGGTAAACCTTCCTTCACAACAGCAAGTAGCAAGAAAGACAATGCTTCATTAATGGACATGGCATACACAGACTAGACTAGAGTAGGACAAAAGCAAATGATAGCTAGTATTATTTTGGCCCAGGGGAGAGCCGGCGAGGGAGTTTGGAGGGAGGGGGAATGATCTAAATCAAAGAATATAATGGGAGTACAAGTCAAATTAACCAAAGAATCAACCAACTTGTTGAAACCCCTTAGATAATCATAAGAAGAAGTTGGTGAGTAGCAACATTAAAAGTTAAGCACATTAAATTTGATGGCATCAGAGGATAATAGTAAAACATTTGAGAAGTTCGAAGTAGCATATTGGTGTAATAATTAAAGTTCCACTGGTCCTGATCCAAATTCCCTCCTTCAAAGTTCAAACAATATATTACACTTACTATCCTTGTGGAAAAGAAGAAAACCTATATCACCGAAGTTCATATTTTCTTGAATAAACATCAGAGTTAGCTTCTACATTTCTGATACTATTCTAAGAATTTATCAATCAATATTACAAAAGCTACTACCCCGAGACCAAAAGACTAGAATCATAAATCCTGACTTGAGCTAATCTGATGACACTCTGTATGACTCATTGAAAACTTTACATTGTGAAATATCCGTTAACTTTATCAGGTTACACAAGGTCCTCTTTCCAAGCTGAACACTATCCAAATAAGCATAATCGTGGAACGTTTAGCTACAGATTTAACTCTCAATCTAGGTTTTATGTAAGCAAAAAAAAAAAAAAAAAAAAAAAAAAAAAAAAAAAAAAAAAAAAAGAAACAGAAAGGTGCACATACAAATAACACATTACTGGCATAAAATTATAAATTAGGCCGATCAGCAGAGTCACAGTTAGCTGATTTGAACCTCGAGTAACGTTTGAGGTAGAATAGAAAATTCCAATATATAAACATATATAGGTTGAACCTCCAGAAAAAATCAATGCACTAATGGACATGAAAGAAGGGTGAAAATTGTTGACAGAGTGATATTTGAAGAACACATTTGCATTAGTTAAGAGCATTATAAATTTCAAGATTTTTTTTTCCCTCCCAAATTAGGAGGATCTATATAGTGTATCCACACTTCCCCTCCATGGTGACTCGAACCCATGACCTAACGATCGTAGTAACGATCGTAGGTGGAGGTGTTTTTACCAACTGAGCATGTCTATAAATTTCAAGCTTCTTTTCCCTAATTAGATACCAAAGTCCTGAGGAAAGAACAATCAAGCTATGTTTATGTCCTTAATTCAATTAACACAAACATACAATTAAATAGCTCCAAATGTAATCCAATTCCAATGGGGAAATAGAAATACCAATTGCTCAACAGCCGAAACCAAAAATAGGACCACGCAGAGGAACAAACTGTAGGGCTCAAACATAAGCTATTTTCCCTCTATATTCCGCTAGGTTATAAAAATGATGGATCTATGGGTAAAAGTGAAGAGCAATGTAGAGCTATAGTCACAAGTATGGATTATATATAAATCTGTCACAGATTAAGGGTTTACCTGTGAAAGAAGGGCAAATCTGGAGAGAAACAACTGATGACTGCTTTTCTAATGCTAAAATGCTTATTTAGTTGATTGTTGAGGAATCCGCTGCACCATTACGCTAATATTGGTGAATTTTCGATCGGAACTCCTCTAGGTTGCTCTGTTTCGTTTAATAATACATAAAATCAATTATTACTTATCTTTTAAATTGGCACCGTGTGACAACATATAACATGTATTGACAAATTTTTAGCCTGAGATTACGTTTGGCAAAGACAACCCAAAAAAATTGACATTGTATAACCAAATTTTAGAAAACCTACTTCCCTATTTATTCTCTCCCATGACTCAACTACATCTGGTTTCTGCACCAGAAAAAGAGCACGAAATGCTAACCTCCTTCGCCGACTGCAATTTCAAACTCCGCCTCATCACTTTTTTTTGCTATGAACTTGAGATTCATTTTTTAGAAGACAAGTTAGATTGCAAACAAACAAAATGCAGATTTTTTTTTTGTTATTAAAAAATGCAGATATATACTTACACGTATATGCACATGTATAATGCATTTGGGTCAATACTCTTTGATGGGTGGATACATACTCATTTTTTTCTTTTGTTTTTTGATTAAGAAAATAGTCCTAATTCTCATCTTGTATATTAATGTATTTCTACCATCTATATTTGTGTATATTCATAAGAAATTATGTGTTATACATTGAGATATACATGGAGAAAAATAAATTTTTGATAGACAAAAAATGATTTGATAGACATTTTGATATACACATAAAATAAAAATAAAATTGCAATATACATTTTGGTATACACATTATTTGATGTGTTATATATTGTGATATACAAACAGTATAGTTATTTTTTGTTATACACTTGGATATGCATTGCCATGAGTCAACAATAAATTTTAAACAATTTTATTTATAATTGCATACTTTAGATATACAATAAAAATTTAATATACACAAAAAAGTAAAATAAAATCATGATATACATCTTGATATACATATTACTGTTGTGATATATATTTATTGGCTATTTGGTGTCAATATTTATAACTAGGACTTTTTTAGTGCTAATTATGTGGGTAAGTTGTTATAACACACCAAAATCTTAAAAAGAGGCTACCTAAGTGTTTGTTTTTGTAAACCGGACTATAAATTATGACTATCTTTTTATTAGAGCGGTCAAAATAGGCCAGTCCAACCCAAGCCTCGTGGACTTTTAAATTTGGTGGGCTAAGACGGGCTGGCTGTCATATGAATGAGCCTTAAAATGGCTGGCCCAACACAACCCTAAAAGGACCGCGGGCGGACCGGCCCTGTAATTTTTTTTAGAAAAAAAAAAATTCTTTAAGTCCTCAAATATTTTTTCATGACATTGTCGATTAATCATATAAACAACTTGTGTTTGCTTAGAGCATACAAAAAGCTTGATATTTGACGAGGAATCTCGTAATTGAAATGCATGTTCTCTACATCTCTAGCTCTTCTTTTTTAAAGTTTCATGAATATTTTCTTAATACTTTTCTTTCATTTCCCTCAGATTTAGAGATTGTTTCAATAAATTTATACGCTGAGGTTTTTTATTTTAAGATTAACATCATTTGTTGATTTAATCATTATAGTCTATAAAAATTTTAAAAAATTCCTGAAACTTGCTAGTGGTCAATTTTTTTTGTACGTGTATAAAAATTAATTTTTTTCGATACTAAAGAGTAGTTTAAATATTAATAATATATTAAAGTAATCCAAACTGATCATTATCCACTTAATATTATTATTGGCCACCTAAAACTTTTTGAGTTCGTTATTAATTAAGCAAAGCAAAACCTAATTTTGTCATATTACATGCATGCCAAAAATCTAAATTCTAGTTGATATGGAAGGGTAAATGAGCAATCTAGGGTTGGGGAATGAGGATTATAGTTAATATAGTTTTTTTAGTTTTTACTTTTTAAAAATATTAAATATTTAATAGTTAATTAATTTGAATTTAATTAATTTTTGGCTCACGGGCAGGCCAGGCCAGTCTCGGTCAAGCCTCAAGGGTCAGCGGACTGACTTGGGCCGGGCTTATAATCCTCACTTTTAAATGGGCTCAAAAAATCCTAGCCTAACCCTACCCAAATAGCAGGTTGGGTTGGGCTGGCTTCAGCCCATTTTGATGGCTCTACTTTTTATAGAAATAAAGGGATTTAAGTTTTCACCAACACTAATTTTTACAAATGTTCTACAATAATAATAATTCTCAAATTAATCGAAAAAATTCCAACAACTATAACCATGTTAGTGAATCACATAATTTAATTTTTTACATTTTAAAGGTCGTATTTTAAGGTGCAAAAAACTTTCAATTTCTACATGTTTCCCTTTAAAATGAGATGTCTCTTCTTATAATTGTTTAATGTACAAATTTTCGTTGCACATGGTATTACGCTATTACTAAAATTCTGGTTGACTTTCTCATGTAATGTAACATAAATAAGTTGCACATGTTATATACTAGTTAATAATGATTGCCAAAATTTAATCATTTAATGATTCTTTGGAAACTTAATCGTAAAAAATAATTTATATAATTAATACATAAGTCAAATTTCATTAACAATTAGCATAGTTTATATAAATCCAACAACAATCCTGACAACTTGTTTAGAGATAATTACAGATGTGAGTTTAAGTTATACTCCTATTGTTTGTTAGATCGGAAACGATGGAAAGTTAGGGAACGACCTCAGCATTTTTATTTATTTAAAGAAATGAGAGATGGAGGTGCAAGCAAAGTGGCTTCCTTTAACATTGAACACTTATGGTGACTGAAACACAAGTTACATTCCAGGAAGAGATTTGCTTTGGATGCAAATATACAAGAACAGTATTGATTTCAAAAGATTTTATTACAAGTCTTTAAAGAGATAAAAGTCGTGGTAACTTATTATTTGCAAAACACAAAACTTCAATCACCTGTAATATTATAGAATTGTTTACACTGTAAATGGTAGTATATAGCTTAAATCCTTGAACAAGTTTCATTCCCAACACTTGCTGGAAGATATCTTCTGCAGCCGCTAAAACATTTAGAAGAGATACTTACTGATGTTAGATGAAGTTAGAGGCTTTACCTCTTTAACACTAAGCTAAATAAACAGGAAACCTTTTAGGATCAAGTTTAGACATCATGTGCTTGCTTTATTATGTCTATTCAGATTTCATCTACAAAATCCAATCATGGTTATGACTCTATTCCCTGTTCCTTTAGCTTATGTAGCACTACACTCAGAAGATAGGACACAAACAAAGAAATGAGGGAAAGACAAAAACATAATGACAGCACAAAGCAATACAGGAACTGAAGGGCAAAACGGGTCAAGCACCAGTTTTCAATCACCTGGAGACACATTGTTTTTATAAGGTTAGTTTCCCAATGTTTTCATTAATCATTCAATATGGAAACGGGTAGATTTCCTTGCAGGCAGCAGCACATCAGATAGAGTTCATTTCAACATTTTCTTTTAAGCTTCGTTAATAATAGTATAAAGATCAGAAAATAGAAGGGGGTCTGGGGACAGAAATTAAAGACCTTAGAAAATTTATAAGGTTAAAAGAAGAAAAAAAACTATCACTTACTCAACTCACTGTACATCACTTCATATCTCAAGGGATCTCCATCTGGTATAGTTGAAGCGCACACTGAGCACTTTAAGTAATGCCACCAATTAGACTAACTACTTTGGATGCATTCTACTTGCATTGTCAAATCCTTGATCCCAGCATCACGTAATATTTCAGATACTTGTGCCTTTGCAGATAACTTCTCACTCTCGCTTGAGACAAGAAGATGAAGAGTACCAATCACATCTGAGTTCGTGAAGCTCCAAACATGCAGCTTCTGAATCCCAGATAAACCTTTTATCTTCATGACATCGTTTACAGCTTCCTTCAAATCCTGTTCATGAGCCCTTGGAATTCTTTGCAGTAAAATTTCTGCTGAATTCCTGAGCAATGGGATTACTGAAGATATAATTAGAACAGAGATAAAAATTGAGCAGGCGGGATCAGCAACGAGCCATCCCTTGTACTTGATTAACAGCGTCGAAATTACCACCCCAACACTACCCATGGTGTCAGCCAGAACATGCAAAAATATGCCTTCCATGTTATGATCAATGTGCCGGTGTTGCCGCTTATGTTTCTCAGTGACACCCTTGTCTTGACCATGAGAAATATCTGGTCCTTGCAAACTTGCAACAGAGCCGTGGTGCACCTTTATCGAAGAACCACTTGAGCTGCCAACATGACAATGTTGGTGAGCATCATCATGATGATGGTGCCCGTGGTTATGGTCACAGGAATGATCATGAGAATGAGGAGTCTTATGGTCATGAGAATGGTGGTCATGGTTATGGTCATGAGAATGAGGAGTGTTATGGTCATGGTTATGGTCATGAGAATGAGGAGTGTTATGGTCATGGGAATGATCAAGAGAATGAGGAGTGTTATGGTCATGGGAATGATCATGAGAATGAGGAGTCTTATGTTCATGGGAGTGATCATGAGAATGGTGGTCATGGTTATGGTCATGGGAGTGATCATGGTCATGTAAATGGTGAAGATGGTGATCTTGGAGACTATCGCCTGTGGAATGAGAATGAGCATGTGAATGGGAGTGTGAACATGATCCACCATGGGCATGATGATGTTCCTCGTGAAAGAAGATCAAACCCACGATATTAACAAGAAGTCCACCAATAGACACTGACAATAGGCTGTTAGTAGAAACCTCCTGAGGGTCTAATATCCTCTCAAATGATTCAAGCACAATTAACGCTCCCACGAGGACAAGAAAAACAGCATTTGCATACCCAGAAAGAATCTCAAATCTTCCACGACCATAGTTAAACTGACCATTTGCTGGCAACCGGGATATGTACGAAGCATATAACCCAATAGCTAGAGCTGCACAATCAAACAGCATGTGACAAGCATCTGATATTAACCCAAGGCTATTACTCATAAAACCAGCAACAAATTCCACAACCATGTAAGCTGTATTGATCAAAAGGAAAAGCGCTATCTTGCGAGACTTCCTCTCACCCAAGATATGCCGGAGAGGTTTCATAACCGAAGTCGTAAACCAATCCGACGGTTCCAACCCCAACTCAATATAATTACTATCAACGGGATCCAAATTCCTTACTGAAATCCAGTGCAACAATCCACATATCAACAATCCCCAAAGCGAAAGCTCGGGATAATAAAACAATTCCAATACAACAGTACATAAATAGGTCACAAGATACTCCTTTTGAAAATCCTTCGACGAAATTGTCCTCTCATCAGTAAAATTCTCACTCAAAAGCACACCAAACACTACTGTGTTCACCAAAACCCAACCGAGACTCGAAATAGAGATACTATCTCCGTCTGCTTCAAACACAAACATACTTATAACAGCAGGTACAAACAGCATTACAGTAGTAAAAAACAAAGATATC